ACAAGACTACAGCGCTATATAAGAGTCTGTGTGTCACACGCTACACTTATGCGGTTTGTGCGAGTGTGTTATACGCCCAGGGGTAAGTTATGTTGTTTGCTAATCTTTGCGATAAGTCTGCTAATTAATTAAAATTCATTAAGTAACTTTTAAATAGTGAAAATAGACATATGTTTTCAATTAGAAACTTGCTGAGCGTCGTCCAAAGCCCCTAATCCAGTAATTTTTAGAAAGACTGAGCGCGTGTGAAGCGCAGTAGCTCGCTGAAGTTACCACTGGAGGACCAGGTACAACACTGGGGCTAGATAACAGACAGAAAAATTGTGCGAGCGCCTTACCGAAACCGCTAGCCTTGTAGCTGCTCCCGGAGTGGTAACTTTAGTGCGCTATTCACGCGCTGAAAAGTTTCTGAAAATGACTGATTTAGGGATTTTGGACGGCGCCCACCAAGCTTCTCATTGGAGAACCGTATGTCTATTTTCAATAATTGAAAATTTAATTAGTGAATTTTAATTCCTTAGCCGAGTAATCGCAAAGCTTAGCCCCCACGTAATGTCCCCCTGGGCGTATAACTCACTCGCAGAAACCGCATAAGTGTAGCTTTCATGACTTTTTTTAAGAACAAAGCTGCAAGAATAAAAAAAAAAAAACCATGACATGGGAGGCAGATATACCCCTATTCGGCAGACCCAGATATGGATATATAAAAAATTCGACAGATCAGGCTAAATAAGGCTTATATAAACTATCTGCTTTATATGGCCAGATCTGCCCGATTTTTTATATATCAATTTTTCTTTTTTATATATATAAGTCCATATCTGCCATTTTCGTAAGGGTGGCAACATTTCCAGAATGTACTAATGAGGTTGTTCTTCACATAATAAAATACTATCGATCGCTTTGCGGTTGTCAATCGATAATATAAAATCGATAGTTTCACGATACGGAACTGTCGAAAGAATGCAATCAGTAGTACTGCTGAATACTTTAATGGGTGATTTCAGAAAAGATCGAGCAAAGGGTGGCTGGTCAATATTTTTAAATCAACTGATGTTTTTATATGACATCGTCTAGTGTCTGGTATAAAAAATCTACACTTATTTTTGCCCAGAAACATATTTTGGGGGGGTCAGGAAAAATCGTTAGACATGAAGAGGTGGAGAGTAGCATTAACGCGCACTGATGGAGAGGGCACGTTTGAGAGTGAATAACTAAAACGATAAAATCTGGGGAATTCTAATACTTTCTAAAAACGAACTTTGGGTACAGTTTGCATGTAATATGTAAAAATAATATTTATTTAAGTTAAATTTTTTTTTTCTGAAAAATCGACAAAGAGCCCTGCTTGAACGACTAATGTCAAAAGTTGGAGGCCTGTATCTCATGAATAAGTTAATCACCATCATATAATTTTCAGATAGTGTTTTACTTAAAGGGGCGATGCAACGATTTTTGTATTTTGCGCCAATACCGCTCAGAACGGACCCTGACTTTAATGACCTGGTAAATACCCGTTGGTTTTTCACCAAACGCAATTGAAGTCGCAGAAAAAAATAAAGAAAAACGAGCAGAGTTCACCCCCTCAACTCGCAGCCAGAACAAGCGGCCACGTGATCTGGAACCGATTATATGCCGCCAATGTTGATCATAGCCATGCGCTGGGGTTGGCAAGGCACAGGACACGCGCTGAGTTCCAGACATTGTTATGGTTCGGCTGTTGTCGGCATTGCAGCGAGTGGACACAGGACACCACCCCAATGCTTCTCGAGCTATTGATTATCACGAGCCCAAATCGAGTGTCCACGCCATGCTCGGGTCCAATCTATGAGCCGCATTCAAATATCGTCACTGGGCGGTACTGCTACCGCCCAGCTACGTCAACAGGTTTTGCGAAGGAGAGATTGAATGAAAAAACTCGGTTTTGTCCTCGAAATTACAGCACAACAAAGAAGTTTCTTGGTGACTGGCGTTGCGTGCGAGTATCCTTGATTCCCACTAGTGCCAGTAGGCTCGTGTAAAGTGAAAAACATTCCAATTGAATATCGTTGCACCGCCCCTTTAAATATGGCTATTATATATATATATATATATATATATATATATATATATATATATATATATATATATATAAGGCATCTGAGTGATACGATAGTCGGAATATATTTAGGCAATCATGGGCATAAAATCAACCCACAAAACTTCCGACGCAAAACAAAAAAAAACATTTTTTTTTAATTTGTGTACACCGTCATACTCTATTGCGAAATTCATTCCTATTTAAAACATTTTGCATTATTTGATTGAGAAAGAAAACACAACTTTTTTAAAGTGTACACTTAGCAATGCCCTATACGAAAGTCACTCTGAGTTCCAGTTTCAGGAAATTGACAGACACCTTTCAGATATTTTTATTCAGATGAGGTTACGGACAACTAGAGTAATCGATCACACAGTAGTAGTGAGGGGAAACGATATACACGTTCTCTACAGTGGGAATACAAAGCTAATAATTGGCGCAGCGCACACAAACTGACATTTCCCGGTAAGGAATACATTTGAGCCATCTAGGGCGCAAGGAATAAAATTTCGTTAGCCCAACGCCGGATACAGGATGCTTGCCTTTTTGTGCACGAAAGGCCTCTCGCATTGAGCGTGTCAGAAAGCGCTTTGGCACGAACGTTTTCTCCCCGTCGAACATAACAGAGATGCTTATTTGCATACCAGCTGAACGTTAGGAAAAGCAACGGAGAGAAGAGAACAAAGAACTACACTGCTGGTTCTTTGTTATCTAGCCATGTCTAACCAACCGGCTCAGCTCCAGGCCATCATAACTGAGATCACGTCCTCCTTGTTGGGATCTTGGCGCGAACATTCTAGCTCGCCTTTCGTGAAGTACTCTAGGGCAGCTGACACGTTCTCAGGGCTCAACTTACACCGCGTGTGAGGATCCGGCTCATGCCACACGCCATGCTTTTCCTTACCTAGAGCGTAAGCACTGTCGCCATATTAACCCTTTCTAGGGTAACATGGCGACAGTGTTTACGCTCTATTGTATTTAGGCGGGGTTCGAGTATTTTGGACTTCTGCTGTGTGTCGGTGTGCTTGTTTGTGCCTGACATTATTGCCCGCGATGGCGTCGAGTGGGATGGCGACAAATACGACTGCTCAGTAAACAGGCATTGCCGATCATATTTTGCTGGTTGAAACGAACCCCCGCATCCTTGACAGCGAGCGGGGAAATGCGAAAAAAAGGTTGTAATGGCCGTTTTTCCAGAGGTAGTGACGAGTGTCGCCTGCTTCTTTCGTCAACTATTGCGCCATAATCATAATCTTCGCGAGGAAATGATTGTTGCTAGCCACAGAACATAATCACGTAGAAAGGGAATACTTAAATATGTTTTTATTCTAGATATAAGTCAGGGATATCTATAAGAGAGAGAGATAGATGGGCGGGGGAGCTAGATGGGAAGAGAGAGGAGCATATAGTGTCGTAAAAAACGAAAATAAACAAAGTTCCCAGTGGCCGATGGCTGCAGGATCTTTTGTTGGATCACTGTGAAAAAAATGACCACCGCATTGACTTTCTAAACACACGTATCCTGGACATGAAACTAATCCTCGCCGGAGGCTCTTCCTTGAATCTTGGCGCATTCAGACCACGCCAACAAACAAATAGGTCTCTTGGTGCACTGCCATCTGTGTATGTGAACGGACTCCACCAGTTGTCTTCAAAAAACGATCAACGAGGAAGAAGATGGGATCATGCACATTCGCCTCCGTCATAGAGGAAAAAGAAGATCGCGGCTCCTTTCCTCCATAGTCGCCCCTGAAGAAGAAGCCGAACTGGCTTCGAAACGTTGGGCCCCTGATTTAGGGATTGGTTCGTCGTCGTATTTTAATAATCATTCCCCAACCAGACAGACTTCTGTCAAAAAATGTTTACTTTTAAGATCTCTAGTGCGTATTATGATACCTCTTTGTACACAGTCGTTTCTCCTCACTTTTACTGTGTGAACGATTGCTATAGTTATCAGTGGTCTCATCCCAATAAAAATATCTAAAATATGTGTGTTAGTTTCATGAAACTGGAACTCAAAGTAACTTTTCGTATAGGGCACTGCTTAGGGTAGGCTTTGGAAAAGGACCCTACTTTGGGGAGTTGTGCGTTCTTTCTCAAACAAAATATTGCGGCATGTTTTAATAGAAACGACTGCCCAACTAAAGCAAGAAGGGGTACGTAAACTCTAAAAAAATGAAAGATGGCGCTTTTTTTGTTTTTATTATTCGCATCGGAAGTTTTCCTTGTTTGATTTTTTACCCATGTTTGCCTAAATATATCCCAACTACCGTATAACTCTGATACCTTATACATTTTTTTTAAATAATAGGCATATATGAGTAAAATACAATCTGAAGAGTATATGATTACGATTAAATTATTTCATGAGATACTGGTCTCCAAATTTTGCCATTTGTCATTCGAGCAGGCATGTTGGGCAATTCTTAGAAAAATTAATATTATTCAAATAAATATTCTTACCATATATTACAAGCAAGCTATACCCAAACTGTGTTTCTAAAAAGTATTATACCTCTCCTAATTTTATCGTTTTAGTTATTCCCCTTTGAACGTGCCCCCTCCATCGGTGCGCGTTAATACAACTGTAAGGTATGTATGAAATACATACATGCCTTCCGGTTTTTCCTCTCCCAAACTTCTTTCTGGTCAAAACTAAGTGTGGGTTTGTCGATACAAAACACTAGGCAATATTATATAAAAATATAAGTTATTTAAAAATGTCGACAGCCACCCTTCAGGGGATCTTTTCTGAAATCAACATACTATTTTCTCACTATCAATAGTTGGTTCGGCTTCAAGTATAGCATCCATGGGACTACCGATTTATTTGCACCACTAGTGTACACAGTACGAAGAGTCAGTGTGCTCAACTTTATTTAGCCTGGTTTAGGTTTATTTCTTCTAGTGAGAAGTTATCCTACTGATCTTTCTTTGACTTGCGCTTAGGTTTCTTAGTCTTCTTAGTTTTCTTCTTTTTTTGCTTGGGCTTTTCAGTGGGCGCAGGAGTATTGTCATCAGTCTCGTTGGGCCCACCTGAATTATTTGTCAAATGACATTCTCCGTTTCGACAAATTCCATTTTCACCAGTGTTGTACTGAAAATGACAAAGTAAAAAAGTGCATATTAGTTTAAAATATTCATGAGAAGTAATTTTCGGTAACGGAACGGTTTAAAGTATGAGGTCACATTATTTTAAGACTTTTCAACCGAATGTACGCCAAAATTTACCTCTACGCTTAACGGTACAAATCACGCACTAGAGTTCGTAGTAAAAACGCTCCACGAGACATGATTTTACGCGACGTCATATGGTGTTGGAGTTTTCCTGCCAATTTTATCATCAAGTAATTTACGTGGCATACGTCATTCATAAAAATAAATAAAACACAATGTAAGCGTAGGTGAAGAGGATTATGCTGAGCCGATTAAGAAAAAAAGATATTTCCAAAAAGAGACACGAGAATGTTGTCCGTCTCCTTTCGAAACATGTCTTTTTACGGTTACATCCCTAATTCGCGAAGTTTTGAAGCAGTGTTTTTTATGAAGAAACTAATGGAGGGACGTTACCCGGAAAATTAGAGCGGTAAGCGCTCTTGGCAAGATTTCACGGGAAATGACGGTATCATATGGCACTGTGACGTCACGTGATACTTTAACGTAATCCCATTGAGTCATTTAAATTAAGCAACGAAAACTTGCGTCGCCATTTGACGTCAGGTCTGTCGTGTAAAGCGTTCTCCTGCTCTCTCAGAATGTTTGCTGTTAAATATAGCGGAGAAACTAACCTCACCTTATGCTTCGGCGTCACATAAAACGGTTCCCTGCTAGATTTTGGGGGGAAGCTTTAACCGCTACAGAGGGTGGGATACTCTGAGATCACGTGAACTCACGTAACACTATGACTCCTAATGGCGTTACTTGTTTATGTGAGATCAGACATGGGATGTCATAGTTCCACGTTTCTTGACAGTATCACTTTGCCACGTGATATCTAAACCTTTCTGGATTGATTAGTTTCGCGGCATAGTGATTGTGCACCGACCCTCCGCAGCGCGGCGTGCAGCGCATCGCCTGCGATCTCAATAAATTTCTAGGACACGACTAGTTACCATGAATTTGTTTCGGCTTAGTGGATGAAGACAAGACTTTCGTCATGTGTAACTTCTTTGCGTCTCTTGTTATTGAAAAGTCACCACCCTCAGATTAAGTGTTAAACCTATATATTATTTAGATATACTGCCGGCTGCCATTTGGCAGCCAAGGCAGGAGAGGGCACACAGGGCAACAATATATATAATACTGCCATATCATCTTTAGGTTTATTATGGTCGGGGAATCATACAAAAAATTTGAAATGTCGGCCTAAACTTGGCAGTAAACAAACTAAAGAAAGAGAGCAGCACGTACGTGCCTCCTCATTTGCAATTTTCTAAAACCGCTTTAGTGAAAATGTTTGCAAATTGAAAGGAATTATACTATTTACCGGAAAGGCATACACGAAAAACCTATGACCTGCAGGTGCGGCAGCACGTGAGTGTGCTAACTAGATTAGGCTTGCTACTCACAAAGCACTTTTCTCCGTCCCCAAAGAAAAATTGGTCCCATGAATTGGTGCCAGAGTTCCAGCAGTAATAGTCGCAGCCTTCTCGGTTTACCTCCTGTAGAAATCACAAGCAGTGTAAGAAAAAGTGGAACAAATATTCGCAAGAACTTGCTTACACAGTGTGAATAGCGTGTTATTAATTTACAAAATTAAGTATTAATTCGTGGACGAATTTCCGTTCATTTTAATGCTTCATAAAAATTTACAAAAGCAAAAGTGGACCTCACATAATCGTTGCTTTCATTTATAAATAACCCCTCAAAATGCTTCCAAACGTGTAATGAAAGAACGTTTACCGATGCGGGTCTCGTTCCGTTCTGGCAATTGTGGGCTGCAGCGCTGCCGAAGAAGGCCACACACACTGCAGGCAATGAAGCACACAAAATTCAATTCAACTGAAGCCAAGCTTAAAAGGTTTATTTAACCGTTTGCCTTCAGCCTTTGTTTTGTATCTATTAGTGTAAAAATGAAATAAAAAAAGGCATTCATAAATTATTCGCTCATTGATGTGCGCGTCGAGACGCCTATGCAGTAGAAGAAGCGTTTTTTTTTTAGAAATAACCATACAGTTTCATATCAAGGGGGAGTAATGCAGTCATTGGGCTAGCGCATTAACCAATGTCTACCACTGCGAAACTGTTGCATGTTCTTAGTTCCTGCATCCACGGGTGTTATAAAGTGTATAACTTTTATCTGGTGCAACAACTTAAATTATGATCAAGTGGTGGCAAGAACATCTTTCCTCAACTCGGTATTTACTGACATGAAGATATGGAAAAGAAAATGTCTGCGCTTGTCAAAAGGTACAATTCGTAAGTTAATCCTCAAAGTTGTGCACGTGTCTCTTTAACCCAGCACACTCACCCGATGCTAAGCCGATCTCGAAGGGACTAAGGAGGACCCCAGTGCTGTCTGGTGTCTTCGAGCAGTTTCACAAAATGTATATGCAAAATCTACGGTGCGATTGATTTTCTTGTGCTTGGGAAAGAGTAGAAAAAAAGAAAAGATCGCTGTCGTTTTTAAAGGCTGGTTGAAATTCGGGGGAAACCTTTTTCTCGGAAAACATTTTGTGCACACCGAGTCTATCCCTAAAAAAAACAAAAAAACAACTTGTCCTTGAAAAAAAAAAAAAAGATTGTGGGCACCAGCGCTTCCGAAGAGCGCAAGAGACACTGCAGGAAATAATGCCCACAGAAATCAATACATGTGATGTCACCCTTAACAGTTTGTTTTAACCTGTATTTCAGCTCAACGAACGTAAGTCATATATTAATGTAATAATAAATAAACAAAAGACGTTGATGAAATATTTGGTTATTTTTGTGCGTCGGGAAACCCACACATAATATGGAAACGTTTTTTTATAAGAAAAAAAAAAAACGTAGAGTGTAACATTTAGGAGCAGGGATACGGTCGATGGGAAAACGCAGTAACCGATTACCGCCACTGCGAAGCTGTTGGATGTTCTTAGTTACCAGATCCACGTCTCATGTTATAAAGATGACATCTTAAACATAGTTTGTATTAAGAATACGGTTGTTTAAATTTAATATGGGATAAAGCCTTAAATTATGACCAAGGTGAGGGAAGAACACCATTCCTGAACTCGGTATCTATTGGTATAAAGATTTGCACGAGAAAATGTCCACACATGTCAAAAGACACAATTAATAAATTTAGCTAACATCACACGGAGTCTATGTTAAGATCTCGCAGGTAAATAAAAGAAACCTATGGGCTGGTTGCTATCCCCGAAGGAGTTTCACGAAATGTATTTTCAAAATGTACTGCGCGATTAACATTTTTATGGCGTCAGGATAAACAAAAAAAAAAGATATAAGATCGCTAGTGTCTTGAAATGCTAGGTGAAATGCGGAAGGAAGTCTCTTTGATCGGAACACATTCTATTCAAGCCAGGCCTATCCGTGTTAAAAAAAAAAAAGAAATAAGAAAAGTTATCCCTTCAGCCTATTTAAAAATATATCATTAATTTTTAGCAAACGTATAGCATAAATAATTAGGAAAGGAATAGTTTTCGCGGTAGGTATTTTTTGGCGCGTTTTTGTTTACAGCCTGTTATCTCCATCAGAGGGCAGGGGTCACATGTTGTAGATTCTGAACGACACCGACGGCTGGGGAAAAGGTAGTGGTGTCCAAAAAATACATTATTATATGTGAGAGTTATGCATTCTGAACTTTCATTTACCACAAATCAATTTTCTGAACCTATTTTCTCGAATGTACGTAACAAAGTCAGTGATGTTATTACTTATGAAAAAAAATAAAAATAGATACTTCACTGAACAGAATCACTTGAGCATTACTTAGCTTGAAAATACTTATAGAAAATAATTTGAGCTTGATATATATTACCATATGCCTTATTAGAATATGTCATCAGATCCTCCAAAAATGTAAGAACTCACCCAACACCAGCGTGGTTCCTGTCAACCCCATATTTGGTGCACTAGTTCTCAACGAGGATGTGAATGCCTATGGCGACTAGAGTCGAATTTTATATAGTCGCAAAAGTAGCGGCCTTTACTTTTTTAATTGTTTAACTTTTTTCCACTTGGAGCTTGACTGTTCTACCAGTTAAATAGCTTTTTCATGCTGGATTGCGTAGCTGTTCCTTTGTTCTTAGCATACGCAGTTTGACATATACATGTCAAGAGTGTGAAACGACATTTCCACGATGACGCATCTACATGTTAAATACACCGTCAGAATGGACGTCAACGCTCTCTGGGGAAAATGCTCCGACCTTTTAATCTTGAGCTGCAACTTTAAGTCTGCCATGGGACTAATGAAAATCTGATCAGCGTATCTATTGATTACAGTTCATCCGAAATAAACAAAACACAAGTCTGTATGCGATCCGAATACATAAAATTTACTACTTTGAAGGGACGTAATTTAGCTATGTGAGGACCGACTTGGCCATCCAGAAGCCGAAAAAAAAAGCGCCAGCGGTGGTACCGAGAAACTGTTTTACTTAAAGGTATGTTAATAAGCCCGTAAGAGCTTATGTTAATAAGCCCGTGAGGGTAAAGCGTAATAGCCTTTCATGGTTGAAAATAAGGTGCACGTGACGTTTCAATCATGAGCATGCAGAACGATGTAAGAAACGAACGCGGCGCTCAAGTCTGTTTTGCTCGGACAGAGTGTGACCGCTCGGACGGCAAATTCCTGGCCCTCGGCGCTTGACGTACGAATTATGTCGATCGTTCCGCTAGTCGCGCTCTTCCACCATGATTTTGGATGACCGTGATTTAAACATCACGCGCATCACATTTTTAGTCACCAAGAGTTACTCTGACGCACTTATTAGGTTTGTTTCGCTCGACCACCGCCAGAGTAGTATTTCCGGCTTCTGGTTGGTCACATTCGACTTTGTGAAGACGCTCTGAAACACACCCAGACTGCTTGCAGCCAATGGCACCTCCTCATTTGTCTTCTCTGCCTCCCCACAAATGGCCAAACTCTCTACCTATACGGCTCTGGTTGTGGCCGGCCGCGATCCCGGCAATGTCGTAGCAGCGGTGGTGGACGTGGCGGACTGCGTTTCTGCTGCAGCTTGTTCTCCATCTTTACACACCACAGAAGCTTCAGCAGCCAGAGTTCGGGACTCCGCGACGACTGCGACACACGCGTTCTGCGGTGTTTTTTTTTTTTTTTCATAATTCCTACTTTAAACTACCAGGACCACCACGTCCAACAGCAGGACACTCCATCTTTTTTACGCCATTTGTTGCCACTTGAGGATCATTTGCGATGCATGAACACGCCGAGTAGGATAGTTTCTAAATTATCAAGCCTGCTAAAGTACTGATAACCAGCGTTTCGCGATATTGGCTCTAGGAAAACAACTATCTTTATATGAACATTTGCTTACTCAAGATATAAGTGTCAGACCCGTTAATTAAAATCTTGCATTTGTCTTGAGTAGAATTGGCCAAATAAAATTGAAGGGCGCAGGAGGAGAAATACCTCGGAAAGTTTGGCTGAATTCTAGCGCTAGGCACCACATGACGGATCTGTGTGAACAAATATTTTTTTGTTTGAACCGATTCGCTTTGTGAATTTCGGCGTCGCCAGCAACCAAAAATAAACCTCTATTCGCCATCGACAATCTCATAGACTAAGGTAATTTATATGCAGACGGTTTTTTTTTCGCCGTCAAATATTGCGGTTTTTAGATACTGGCAAAAATTAAAACAACATAATTAAAAAAAACACGTCACTCTCTCTGCTCATTCGCGCAACCCAAACTGCGTATTGGATTTGCAAGTAGAAACGACGTTATTTCACTGTGCACGCTAGTTGAAAACTCTCTATTGTTAAGTGACTGTGGCTCTTCCTTGCGCGGGAAGTCCCAACCTTTGTGTTATCTAATTATAAACAATAAATAACTGAAGTGACTGTCGAAATAGGACTCTGTACGGTAAACAATTTTTTAAACTTCATAAGTAAACCGAGCAACCGAATGTTTACTTCGCAAAAAAAGATTGAGAACCTCGTATACATGTAGGTGTGATATTATGAACAAAGCTTCGTCGGTCGATATTTTACCAATGAAAATTTCAAAAATAATTTATTTCGTATGAAAAGTTAAGCTTAGTTCCGAAACTTCGGCACTTGGTTCGGACAGCAATGTGTAGTTTATTTTGTCGTTAAAGAACCACCGTATATATATATATATATATATATATATATATATATATATATATATATATACATACAACACGGGCACTTCACACCATCGTAAGTGGTCTCCGAGGAGGATATAAACGAACATATGCAGATGAATGAGCCGTACATATATATATATATATATTTTTTTTTTTTTTTTTTCTTTGGGGGGGGGGGGGGGGGGGGGAGGGCCTCCCAAGTAGCACAACACGCCGGGTTGGGGATGGGGCGGTATTGGCCTGCCGGGATACCGATACCGGCCAGTACCGGAAACGCCCCAAGGGGCGACATCGGCCGGGCCCAATGCCGGAATCCGGCCGGTACCGGGAGCTTATTGGGAAACCGGGATGCCGGGAATACGGGATGTTCCCAGCGAGCTCCCGACACAGATCCCCGGCATGGAACCGGTGGTACGGTAGGAAACCATCAGTGTGCCAGCGTGTTTCCGGGTCAGAGCCAGTCCAATTGCGGATTAGTCCCAGCGTAAAAACAGATCAGTGCCAGCGTATTTGCGGGTCAGTGCCTGCGAAATTGCGGATCAGCACCAGCGTATGTGTCATTCAATGTACCCAGCATAGAACCAGCAGAATGCTAGCTGTGTCAGGCGTTAAAGCCCAGGAATGACATCCTACTGCATTTTTGAACAGCTAACTTCTCAGTAGATCAAATTGACTTAAATGTGGAAATGCTAAATTTCTCAGTCCGAACTATTTTATTGGTTTTCGTATCTTTTATAGGTGCTGACCGTTTTTAACATGTTTTTCGGACTTGAACTGAAAAAAGCCGGTTTAGTATTTGTGCAATTTTAAGAAACAATTCTGTGTGAACAATTGACTTTCTCCATGTATCGACCAACACATTGTTTACAAACAAGCCCGCGTGTGCCCACCAGGCGAGGGCACTGTGCCGCACACTTGTGCTCCGTGAAAGTGCACGTCTACGCCGGAACAATTTGGGAAGCAGCACAGTATCATTTAGCACGGTGCGGGAACTACAAGCGTCAAGGCAGCTCTCCGATGCACCGCACAACAAAAGTGAGCCTTCGGTCATTTGAACGAAACGTCACCACGATTGCACACTGCCAAACACGACTCGTGCAATTTCCGTCGCTAAACTGTGTATCCAAATGTATTGCACACGCTTCACTGCAGATCTTGAAGGTTCCAATGGTCAACGCGAGCACAGAAACGTTGCGTTAGAATTTATCCTAGCGGTGTCCGAATCAATCCGAGGTCCGAGCAACGTAGGGCCGATTGTCTCTTTCGTGGCAACATCCCCGTCAGTCACCAGCGAAGTGCACACCGTTCCTTCGTATTTTCACTATATACCTACGTCAGACACCACGCTGAACACTGAAGTCGCTTTCGACCGGCCTCATATGACGGCTTCCGCGTCTGAAATCAACACGCCGAGACGAACGACAACCAACACAGCATCCGACAAGCTCCGGCACAGCTGGGGCCAGCCGCTGCATGGGCGCTGCCATCTTTCCTGTGACGTCACGTATTTGGCTTGGTCATGTGACGAGTGGTAAAATTTGCGTATAATGGGAGCCGCCTTATGAGGGTCAGTTTCGAGTGCAGACCGGAACCCCGGTTTATCGCTCTAAGCCCCTCTACCTCGTTGCTGGTGACAAAGCAGGACATCGCACCTGCCTTGCGCCCAAGGCCACACATAGCACTCACAGCACTCTCAACCTTCATTACAAGTCACACACCCCCTCGTTGTGGACCTATAAGATAAGCCTTTTGTTCGTGAAACCTTAGATCCTTTTCTCTCTCTCCCCAAGCTGAAAGCGTTGTAGAAGGTCAGTGGTCACGTGGTTTGACGGATGACGCATTAGCTGTTGCCGATCTCGGAATGCGTTTAGCCGGACCTAGTTTGGCGTGTGAATTCGCCCTCTGTGGCTGCTGCGTATGTCTGCTTCTGCAAGCGATTTCTACAAAAAAGGCATAGAATTTTTTGTGATGCGTTTAGTGTTCGGTTCTAGAAACGACAGCTTGTGCTACATCGTGTTGACTCTTCACGGGCACCTTCTCGTTTCTGTGTTCGAGTGGCGGTTTTGCCGTGGCCTTGTCGACATCTCCCGCGGATAACACCTTTTAAGTCGCGTCTCGTCAACGTAAGAGCGCTGCAACCTACTTCGCGACAAATGATCGTTTTCCTAAAGGTATTCGTCCAGATCACCTCTAGATTTAGGCCGTGTCTATCTCCTGGCAGCTGGGAGAATAATTGTGCAGAATGTTTCGGCATTGGTGCGATTGCGCTACAAGCAGATAGTTTCGATTTGCCGCCGACAAAATTTTGACGTGTCGAGAAAAAACAACAACAAAGACTCTTAATTACGCGTTCCAAAGTTTGACGAGCGGCTTTACGAGTCGCTTGTAGAAAGATTGTTACGATTTTGCGAAATACTGGCAAACAACGCTAGGTTACCGTCATAATCAAAACCCTGAGATGAGGATAAATGAAATAGCGGACAACTTTCATTGACTCAGGCTTTATATTATGATGTTATATTACGCGACAATTCGCCCGTACTCGGCCGGGAGCCCCGAAGGTGCGCTCGAAGCGGGGGAAACGGCGTTATGTAACGATAGGCCCAGGACATCTACTCCACGAGTGGGAAAAAAGCCGGTGCAAAGGCGTGCACGAACATAAACAACGGCACAAAAGTGCCGTTGCTCGCCGCTATGAGATGCGTGCCGCAAACTCGGTCATCCACGGCGGTATCCCTCTCCTCCCGCTCGTACATTCTCAAACTT